AAGTTATTATCGATTGATGTTAAAAAGTAAACGATGCTTCACATCAAATTCTTGCACGATTTATGTTCACAATAGACATAAATTGTATTAAAAAAAACACTTATTGATTATTTATTAAGTATGTTAGTATATGAACAGGTATTGTATATAATTTAAAAATACATTTTAATTCTAGTTAATTAAAAAAATAATTGGAAAACGTCATGATTATCATGATAAAAAGAAAAATAAGTTTAAAAAAAAGCAATGAAAAACATAAAAGTTCTTTTCAATATATCACTGGTTTTGATCACGACTTGTTTTCTAATGTCTAATAAAATTAAAAAAAAATATTTTTGTTTAAAAATCTCAATTAATAAAAAAAAAAGACAAACTTTTGGTGGTGGTAAATCATTTGGAAGATTAAATGTTTGTCGAACTTCTTCTGGTGTTTTGCCTTTAATCATATCTGCTATTGTTTTACATGCCATATCAAGTAAAAGTGTCATCCCTAAGTAATTAGCAGCCTGAAAAAGACAAAGAAAAAATCTAACAAAATCTTTGAGATGAATCAACAGACCATAATAATTTCAAAAATCATTTCTTGTTTAATGTTGAAAAAATCTTTATCCCAGCTAGGAATTTCAACAAATCTTCGAGTTGTTTGTGAATTATTTCCTGAAGTTAATTCATCATCTTTATGATGAATTGACCATTCAATTATCTATAATAAAATTTTATATATATTTATAAACATAAAAATCGAAAAATATTTTTACTTTTTTTAAAACTTCTGTACCAACATTGGCTAACTCAATAGGATTTTCGTGTACGTCTTTACTGTCCAAAACTTAAGAGGAATGATAAAATAACAACAAAAATATATAGAATATCTTTGAATAATTCTACCTTCATATATATTTTTAACAGGTTCCCATTGTTTTGCAACAAATAGATCAACTTCAATAACATCTCCATCACTAGTTTGTACTTTTATTTTTTCTTCAGACATTTCGTTTTTTTTTTATTTTGTTAAATCTATTGAAATAATCTAAAAATATTATTTAATTTATTATCAAATTAAAATAAATATTTCATATTTAAATAAACTAATATAATAATCATATATAATTACACCAAGGCCAAACAACAGCAAAACTTAATTGTGCATACTCATGTAAACGAATGTCAAATCGACCAAGAATAAATAATGAAAAAAAAAAATAGATATATATATATCTATGATGAGTTATTTTCATTTTATCATTATAAGTATTTCGATGATTACTGTTGAAGAATATTTTTTTCTTTAAGTATAAACTAACAATAAAAGACAAAAAACAAAATATTTCTTCTGAGGAAGTTTTTTCTATGAATCATATCAGCAAAAACAATTTCATCTGATTATGAAAAACATGGTTATTATTATCATTTCTCCCTAGTGACATCAATATGAAATATTTTTCATTAATTATATTTTATTATTTTTTTTCTTTTCTTATTTTTTTCTTCAAACAAAAATATTTTATTTTTGCTTAAAATTAATTTAACAAAAATATATTATTTAATCTGAAGTTCATATGTGAGACTTGGTAAAATATAGCATAAATCCATCTAAATGAATACCTATTTTATTTATAAATATTTGTTGTATTAATTCGTTTACCCTAATTGACATAGATGTTCATTGTATTTCTAAATTATTTTTCTTATTATTCATTAATTTCTATTTAGATTAACTTACGCGTACTTGCTTAAATAGTAAAAAAAAAGCAAGTAAGAAAAAAAAAGAACAAGAAATCAGATTATGATGCATGAAATATTAACATTCAATGAAATATAATAACAATTATTTTTCTTCAACAACAACTGTCACTGATGTACATTTTGAGGTAGAATATATCGAAGAGAGAAATCTATTATAATAATTTATATGTATATTTTATTTTAAATTAGAATGAAAATCTTATATTAGAACCACTTCTCTCAACAAATCAACATAGTGAACAAGTAAGTTTAATAAATAATGAATAATTTTCTTTTGTGTTGTTTGTATGTGTAAGAAAAAATGATCAATTATTTTTCTTATTTCTCCTCTGTAATTTTAAATGGTAGTCTACCAATGATTTATTAATAAGTGAAGACCAACGAGATTTACAATCCGTATATTTTATGTACATCTCGAGAATTAAAAACTTGTGTAAGTGCTCGAATTTTTATATCTATTATGCTCTTTATTAAAACCAATTTCTCATTCACTTATCTGCGTTTTATTCACTCTTATTGGTCTAAAAATATTTTAAATAAATACATAAAGAATAAAGTCATATTTTAAATTTAAACAATTATTTAGATTCTACAATGACTATTCCAACGCCAAGTACGTGTTGTTGTGAAATATTAAAATGGATTCCGGTCTTTTTTATTCTTGGAATTGTTGGATGGTCTTATTATGCTTATGTTGTACAAATGTGTATTTGTAAGTTTTATTTAAAATATATTTTTAAAAATATGATTTTCAATAATTTAGTGACTATTGACAATATACCTAAGAAAGGTAAAAAAAAAACTTATTATTTTTTTTATTGTCTTAAATTATGTTACGAGAATGTTTGCATAAAATATTCACTCATTTTTTGGTTACTTAAAGACAGTTGATTAGAACTAGAAATATTTTCGTTAGAATCAAACTTTTTCACTTTTTTGGAATCAGTATGTAGAATTTTTTTTTCTAGCGTAAGATTGAGCTATTGTTATCAAATTATTTCAATATAGTAGTTGTACACAAGACTGTTTTGATGAATTTTATAATTCAAATGAAATCTATTGAATTCAAAATGTGAAATAATTTTTAATTGATATAGAAACTAGTTCTTTAGTAAATTTGAACATATGTTTGGAAATAGTGAAAAATTTTGATTCTAAGAAACTTTAATCAGTTGTCTTTCAGTCACTGAAAAATGACCAATAATTTTGTGTCAAAACTTTTTGTTTTTTTTACTAAAGATTGTTTATTTGAAAAACGATAATGTTTATGTTTAGTGATTTATCTATGTATTTATCATGTATTATTTATTCTTCTTTTATGGTCTTATTATCGAACAGTATTTACATCTTTAGTTGGACCACCTAGACAAGTAAATATTATTTCAAATTTAATATTAAAACAAAACTATTTTTTTCTTATTCTTAGTTTTATATAAGTGAAATTGAAGGTGAACATATTATCGCAGCACAAACAGTTAGTGAAAGACGTGCTAGTCTTATTCGCCTTTCTCGTGAAGCAAATTTACCATTATTAACACGACAGTTTGATGGAAGTATGAAATTGATATTAATTGATTGAGATAAGTAAAAAAAAAAACAATTTTCTTCAAAGGTATTCGTTATTGTTCGATATGTAAATGTATAAAACCTGATCGAGCTCATCATTGTTCAGTATGTGAAAAATGTGTTCTTCGATATGATCATCATTGTCCATGGTAAAAAAGAAAAAACTTCGATTTAAATGAAATAAAAAGAAAAAAAAAAGAATTCATTTTTATTTTAAGGACAAATAGTTGTATTTCATATGGAAATTATAAATTTTTTATTTTATTTCTTGGTTGGGCATTAATTTTTTGTATTTATGTTGCGGCTACATCCCTTCAATATTTTATTTTATCTTGGCAGGTTAAAAAATATTTTTCAGTTTTTTAAAATTCGATATTAAATTTTTGCTTTTTGTTTTTGTTTGATTTAGAGTATGACCAATTTGGACAAAGTATGTTTTTTTTTACAAAGAAAAAAAAAATATATATATATATATAAATTTGAATGATTATATTTCTTGAATTAAGCATGAAACTAGTCCAATATCAAGAAGTGGAAAATATCATATACTTTTTCTTTTTTTTATTGCAATTGTCTTTGCTATAAGTGTATCATCATTATATTTTTATCATATATTTTTAATTGTAAAAAATCGAACAACAGTGGGTAAATATTTTATTTTGAATTTTTTTCTAAATAAATATTATATTATGAATTTTTTTTTTTTCATTAGAATCCCATCGAGCACCAATATTTGCAAATGGTCCTCAAAAAGATGGTTTTGATTTAGGATGGAAAGAAAATATTCAAGAAATATTTGGATCTAATCTTTTGGAAGCATTAATACCAATATATACAACGTAATTTTAGAATTTTGTTTGTTCTTTTTTTTTATTTATTGAAATTTCAATTTGAATTTTTGATTAAATAGACAAGGTGATGGAGTTCATTATCAAATAAATAGTATGCTACTTGAAGATTTACAAGAACAATCTAGAAATCCAACGTACGTAATACGATTGAATGATAGTACTAACGGACCGAAAAATAATAATCTATATATCATCATTGAATCGAGAGTGACTTTGATAATAAGAAAATTTCTTGTTTTATTTTACATATTTTGAAAAGAGTTTCAATTTTGATAGAAGTAGAGATTGTTATGGTATAAATGAAAGTAGTAATCTTCAACGAAGTTTGAAAAAAATCATATACATCATGAAAGGAATTTTTATGTAGGAAAATCTTTATATAATAAAAAAACCGTTCAGCATATTTTAAATATTTAATTGTTATACAATTTTATTTTATTTTAGTAGAGATGTTGTTTTGGCACTTGATACTTCAGCAAATTCAGTTAATAACGATCGGAATTACTTATTAAGTGGCAATCCCAACAGAAGATAAGAAAAATAATGGACGTTATTTTCTTGTGTTCTGTGATATTAAAACTGCGCAAGTTTTGTGTTTTTCAATGTATATATATATATTTATTTATTTATTAATTTCCGAATTATTTTATCAGCGTAGTCGATCTAAAAAGTTTTGCTTCTATTTTTTATTCCTAATTTGTATTTTTCTTTCTATATTTATTTGATTTATTTGTTGGAAAGACAAAAAGAATCCATCTAAATTAAAACGATTTTTATTTATTGATAATATGGACGAAGGAAATTTATTTTAGATTATAAAACCAACTGATCTTCAAAATGGCCAATAAAAAAGGTAAAAAAGGTGAAACTGGCAGTAGCAAAAAACAAATAACAAATGAAGTTGTTACTCGTGAATATACGGTCAATTTACATAAACGATTGCATGGCGTGTAAGTTAACTTTATCTTTTTATTTTTATGAATATTTATTCTTTAATTTATGCATGAAATAGAGCTTTCAAGAAACGAGCACCACGTGCAGTTAAAGAATTAAAAAAATTTGCTGAAAAAATGATGAAAACACCTGATGTTCGTATCGATTCAAAATTAAATAAGGAGGTTTGGTCACAAGGAATCAAGTTAGTTTATTCTTAATAATTTTTTCTATGTTAAACTTTCTATTATTTTCATTTAGTCATGTTCCTTATCGTGTTCGAGTTCGTTTAGCTCGACAACGTAATGAAGATGAAGATTCACCACATAAACTTTATACATTGGTTACATTTGTTCGAGTACCTTCATTTAAAGGTTTGGTCTTGATGTTTTTCTTCTATTCAATTTTTAAAGCTTTTGTTTTCTTATTTAGGATTACTCACTGCTAATGTGGACAATGAATAAATAAACAAAACAGTAGATAACATCAAATAGAAGAAGAACTTTTGTGATTTTCTCTCGTTGTTTTGTTAAAATAAAATGAAGAGAAAACGAATGTTTTTACATTCACTCCAAAATCAGAATAAAGATCTATAAAAAGAAATTATTTTTTAGAATATTAGCAATTTTTATAATTATTTCATTATGCAGTCTTATTTATTTGAAAAACGAATTTTCTATGAATACATAAAACATTGATAAATAATGAAGTAGAAATCATTATTGTTTATTAAACTAAATTTTCAGAAAAAAAAAACAAGAAATCCGTATTGTAAGAAATCTAAAAAAAGAATTTCTGCATATTATTATGTCTCAAAGCTGTCCAACACAAAAATATTTCGACAGTCTTGTTTTGAGTTTCTTATGATACGAAATTTTTTCGAGTGTAAGTCTTTATCTTTACTTATCAAAATTGATATGTCTTCTTATTTATGAAAATATATTTCATTTCGTATTATTTTGTTCATTACTTGAAAAAAAAACAACAAAATATAAAAGTTTGACTGATGAAAATTGAATTTTTTGAATTGAAGTTTTCAACAAAAAAGCAAATAATTTTTTAAAATGTTTTTCAAAATTTGTATTTTGAAATAATGAAAAATCTAAATATTTTCTCATTAAACATTAATCAGAACTAAATATTAATAATAAAAAAAAATATCTGTTTAATTCTATGTGTACAAAACAACTTGACATTGATTGCTTAGCTATTCTTGAAAACAATTTCCCAAAGGACTACTCGTGGAAAATGAATATACGCACGATGGTCGATCGGTTCAATCATATGCCGTTTTTTAGTCTTGTAAAAGCTGATTGTTGTGTGTGTGTCTTAGTAATTATTCTCATGTGATTGCTCTTGCAGTCAACGACAGGGAATTCTCTCTCTACACAGTGATTGCATTAGACTTGAGTGAACGAGAAGAAGAACAGATTACTAAACGGACTGTTGCGATCATCATCATCATCATTATTGATGAGTCCCATTGGGAGAAGACGATAAAGAGATAGAGAGAAGACACATTTTTTTTTATTCCTTCTTCTCTTCATCTATGCCGATTTGGTTGGCAAGGCGAGCTGTTTTTTACGCATCAGTAATACAACTAGCAACATAGGGTACATCATCACTAATACAGAGAGCGCGCAGATTGACAAGATTATTGAATTCGATGGAAACGATTGAGAAAAATATTAACAACGACGATCATGATCAGACAACATTAATGACAAATAATAAAAGAAAACAAGGTGAGATTTTCAAGGACATTAAGAAAAAAAAAACTTTTTTTAATTGTTCACATAGAAATATAAACATGTACGAAAACATTATTTTTTTTTTCTTATTTCTATTATGGAAATGAGATCTTTATGAAAAACACTTAGCAATCTTGTCGGTTAAACATTGAATAAAACACTTACAATCTGGATTAGTTTACTTTATTTTAGTAGAAAATTCCATATAGAACAATTATTATAAATTGATTCTTATGTTTACATATGCATATAAATGTTATATAAAATAGCCAATTATTTTTGTTTAATTATATTTTTGTAAGATTTCTAAATGTAAATCATCTTTGAAAATCTTTATAAATATGAAGACGAATACTAATTCAGATGAATGACTTGTATTTTATTTAATTAAAAGTTAAAAATAATAATAATCATAATTTTGAAAAGAGAATATCTTTAATTAGATTGTTGATATTTTAGACGATGATTCAAATCAAACACGACAATTATCAACAAAAGTATTTCGATCTGAATCAACATCATTACCATTTGGTATTGCTAATGTTCTTCAATCGACGAATGAATCATCAAAAATTTGTCAAACACCTATAACAACATCAATATCATCAGTTAATCCATGGTTAATGGCTTTACATCATCTATCACAATCATCATCAACAGCAGCATTAGCGAATGCATCAAATTGGTGTGCTAAATGTTCAATACAATTTCGTCTTACAAGTGAATTAGTTCATCATATTCGTGTTCATCATGCAACACGACGTAATTATCATCATCATCAAATATCTACAGAAACAACAACAACAACAACAACAAGAAAAACATTTACAAATTCAACATCATCTATGAATCTTACTTGTCATATTTGCTATGAAACATTTCGAGAACGTCATCATTTAACACGTCATATGACATCACATCGTTAGTTTTTTTTTAGAACGTGATGAGTTTTCTTTTATGTATATAGATATATATCTATTCTCGGAATTCATTTTTCAATTGGTTAAGAAATCTTTTTTCGAATATCCTCTTTACCGTAATAATTTCATGGTTAAAAATATACACGCGCTTCAATCTATTTTTATTTGTCTTTTATTTATGAAATGTTTCATTTCCAATGTGTAGAAGAATCAACAAAGATAAAAATGTGTCTTCAAGTCAATAAAATTTTTTGTCTTGTTTGCATAAACAATAATAAAATCTAAAACATTAGCATTTGTTTTTATATTTCTCTAATTTCAAACTAGTACATACAAATTTGATTCTCACTATTGTTTAAGTAAGAAGAGCATCATTGCAAAAAAAAATGCTAGTATTCAAATTAATATTGAGCAGGAGATTGATATAAAAACTTGAACCAATTCACAGATCGGTATTGCATTCGGGTACTCATTGATAAATTGATAGATATCACTGGCGTTTCAATTGATGAAATCGTCCATTGATAAAATAAGTTTGAAATAGTAAAGTTATGGGTTGTTTTATACACATAAACTACTTCAATAGAAAACTATTCATAAATGCTCAAATCGTTGTTTAATTTATTCAATAATGATTGTAAATAATTGAAACATAATTGCTTCTTGCTAATTCATTGATAAGTATCTGAATACAATATCAATCTACACACTAGGTTGAGTTCTAACATCAGTTTCTCGGTACATCGACAGATGAGCTTCCTACATTAAAGTTCCAGACTTTTGAGCTTGATATAAATAAGAAATTTCAAAGTACGAGAAAATAATTTTATTGAATAAATTACAATTCATATTAAAAGTTGAGCAGAGCTCTTGCTATCAAACGAAAAGAAGTAACTAGTTGTTGTAATTGCTCATTCAAAAGTTCATAGTTTGCAGTTTTTGTTAGTTTCACAAGTTTAGCTTGTAATTGTTTAGCCATTATCATGCTCGCATGCTGTTCTATTGTCAAATCTTGATAGATTTATACATTTATGGATTTTCTCGTGCTGAAATATGACCAGAAACAGATGAACTATCTTATCAAGGAGAATGCATAAGAAACTAAAGTTACCTTCCTAGCTCGATAACAACGTTCAGAAGGATGTAGGTATGAATCAAGAGAAAACGAGCACCCATAGTCACACTCAAAACTAAAGAAATCTGTCAAATATGAATTTCTTGATCAATTTATGTTGTTAATTGAATTGATTCAAATAAAATTATTTTGCTGTATTTTTTTAATCTCTTGTTTATGTCAAACTTAAATGTCGAGAGCTCATCTGTCATTCATCCAGCTCTCTTCTCGATCTGAAATTGAACGCTTCCAATTTCAGATGTAAGGTTCACATAGACCAATCCGATGTTGAACCTGGTCTCAGTTAGGACGCTCACATATATGTCATCAGAATCATTTTCGAAAAAAAAGTGAAAGGACCACTTGTGTCGACAAGAAGATGAATTGATAAATTTATTTTGATCTGTAGATAGCATGTGTTTAAGAAGATATGTTCAATCACGCCGTCATCTTGATTGAACAGCATAATCTTCTAAGCAAGGTAAGTTAATTTTATTAGATTATTTTCAAAAACTTGTTCTGCTGTTTTTTTTTATCAAGATTTAGTTTCCGTGAAAGGTAGCAATGTTAGAATAGGTACTAAAAGTCCAGCATCATTGATAAAATTTAATTCTTTCTAAGAGATTTTATTTGGTTTTGTTTAGGCAATATCATGAACAGCAACACAGTTTGACAATTTGTCTATGGAGACAAATGATAGTGGCAATCGTCCAACAATAGCAACGTTTCCAAAAAACTCGATGACTCATACTTAATTGTGAGAAAGATGAAAATGAACAAGCAATTGTTCTTGTTACTAATTATATCAAAATTTATCTTCTAAGGAGATTTATATCGATATTACTATTCCTTTGAGTCTGATGCAAGACTTGTTTCTTATCATCTTAATAATAAAACAGCACAATATTTATACACGATAGATTGAATTATGAAAAATTCATTGAGAAATATTGGCTAAAGCTGTAGTTATAGATTTAGCATGCAATAGGACGCTTCTTTATTTTTTCGAAGATTTTAGAGTAGTATTTTATTTAATAAAAAAAAGAAAAATAATTTCTATTTGCTATATTTTATTTATGATTGTTAAAAGAAATGACTGTACTGTTGAACGTGGTTTAAAGAAATAAATTCAAACAATGACCTTTTTAATTTCAGAATTACATTGTATGACAGATAAAGTTTAATTTTTTTTCTTGTCTATGTTTTGTTAGTAATGTTTCTATGCTAAACATATTTCAGATCCAATAAGACAAGATTTTTCTTTAATAAAACAAAGATGTGAGGAAGGACATCAAGAATTAAATATCGGATAAACTAGAAATAATAAAGAATTTGTTGAATTCATTGGTCGTTCGATCGAAACGGAATCGATTATTTATATAGATGTATGAATTCATTTATTTAAATAATTCAATAAATAATTATTTTAAGAATTTTTAAGGTACGATTCGATATAATCCATTAGAAGCTGATTGATGTCGTGATGAACGCTCATTAGCACATCTTTCAGCCAAACATCTTGATAAATGGATTGTTATTTATTGCCAATGTAATTCACAAATTATTCATTCAGCTGTTGATGTTCTTTGTAAAGTATGCAAAGTTTTCGATAAGTTTCATTTGTCTTATTTGAATTTATTTCTTGTTTGTTTAACTAGATGTGTGAATTTTCCTGACATGTGAGACCAAAAAATAAACTACAATGTGTGTTTCATTCTTCTAAGAAAATTTAATAATTGAATTACCAAATACTTGTTCAGAAACATCTGTTCGAGTTATTGAAAAAAGTACGAATTCACAGAAGAATTTTGTTTGTTATATCTGAATTAACAATAGTAAAGATCGTTTAGGATACAACTAGAAAAAGTCTTGTATTGTTTACCTAAATCTCTCTCAAGTGGTTTTATTTAGAAGTAACAAAAAAGAGATTCTTTTTTTGTTAGATTTCATAGTCAAAAACATTGATGATCATCGCTATTAATACATGTCGTGATTATCGATTAGATAAATCAAAAATAGTCGGTTTTATTATTTCAATAAATTCAATATGTATACGTTACGGTTCACATTCTATTGAAAAACAAAATAAAAAAAATCTTATTTCAGGATTAATAGTATGCGTGTGAGATCAAGTTTATCTTTTCTACATTTTATTTATGAGTATTTTTATCTATGATTAAATGAATGTACCGCAAAACTATAATCAAATTAATAGTATTCTACTGTCAAATATTATTTCTCGAGATAATATTAATACAATTCAATTATTTAATGTTATTGAAGATAAATTATCAGCATTGAATAAACTTGGCATGAAAGTATCAGAAAATTATGAGTAAGTTCTCTGATAAAGAATTTGTCTTTAGTCTGAAACTAATGATGAGTGTTGTAAAAAGCGAAGAAATGCTCGTTTCTTTTTGACGTGACCCATGTTATAATCGTTAATTAATAAATCCATCATTGAGTACAATTATTGATTATACAGCCACTAATCAAGGTTAGTCTTTTATTCATTTCAATAATTTAGTTAAATAATTTAGGTTTATAGACTGATACGATTTTTATTTGATTTTGCAGATGGTTCATCAAGGAACCGTTGTTGCGTCTCATTTCAATCTCATTTAAGATCGAACTGGGTTTGTGTAAATACTAAATACCTTTTGTACTGATGCTTTTTCTCTTCTAGATTCAAAGTTGATCATATGCAGCCATTGGCATAAAAATTATGTGATTTATAGTACAAACCAGTTTTTTTTCTCTAATTAATTTCTCTAATTTTCTTTTAATTCAGTTGATCTGGTACAATCCGAGTCCTAGTTGTATGTCAATATGCACATAAGTTGGTTTTTCTTGTTGTTCAAAGTTACACACCTAACTACAAGAACGTCTTGCAGATGAATATTTTTTACTTATGAAAAATAATTGTATGCTTATTTCTAAATAAATTTATTTTGTGAACAATAAAAGAAAGCGTGGCTCCAAAAGAAGAAGATCAATCATTATTTGTTTTTTATACTAAGACAAAACAGTGAATCAAAAGAAACAAAAAGAAAAGATTTCATCAACTTGTTCTCCATATTCTCTATAGATTGAATTCAACTTTGTTACGAATGATATATTTTATGTGGCCAAATATGAAAAGATATAAATTTATCTATACAAGTCAACACATTGAATGTTAATCATAACTGCTAGTCATTATTTACACTATAAACAATAATTTCTTCACTTTTGGAATTTATCACATAAAGAACAAAAATGATGTATTTATCTTTGTGAGAAATAGCTTTATTACTGATATATATTTTGCTGTTACGAACACTATCGATGCATATATCAATAAGGTCATCTTTGTTATAACAGATTCGAGTTCTTGTAAGATCAATTGTCGATTAGCATATTTGAGTTAAAAGTTTCTCACGAATTTCCTAACTATTTCAATTTACATTGTCTTTCTTATCAGTTATTATTTTTCTATTTACGTATCTTAAACGTTTTATTTGATTTTACCGAATAACGCATACAGAGAAAGAAAACATAATTAATTAAAAGGTTTTGTTAAATTTTTGTACAAGAGTAATTATTTTCGAAAGTAACAGGAACTCGAGATAGAAAAGATTTGAAAAGAAAAGATTAGTAATTATAATTTTATAAATGTGTTTATCATCATCTATTATATTTATTTCTGCATTGTATCCATATTTTTCTTACAATGAATACATCAATATTGTAAATAGAACAAACTATTCAAATAAACAATTTAACATTCATATTTACTGAAAAAAATAGTATTCTCAAGCTATCAAAAGAATTATCTGATTATAGATCGATTTTCTTATAGTCTAGTACAATTCTATATCGACGTAGTTCAGTTTTACTGATTAGTCGTTTA